AATATAGTGAGCAACCTAATCAAGTGCAGCTGGTGATAAGGGAGTGAGGAACAGGTGAACGTGATTAGTGTTAATGGGCAAGAGACAGTAGGAAAGGTGAGGGAGGCCAGAGCGGCCGAGCAAACCTGACAGTATTTTAGTAAAATATCTTTCTGTTCTAATCTGATTTTGTTTTAATTTGTTGTCTCTACAAACTGTACACTTCCGTGTTTACCAGTTTTTGTCTTGATCAGTTCTGGATAATGTGCATTTCCACATCATTATTCCTCTTACCATAACATAAACATTACTGATATTCAATCACTAAGTCAGTGAGTGCTGTGACAGTGCTGCCATGTTCCCATTCCATTCCACCATTATTATTTTTATAATAGCACAAAATTTGGCATCTGCCTACTTTCATATGGATTGTTCTATAAACAGGATTTCATCGCATTGTGCAGCTGAATGAGGAGATTTCTGTTATTAGTTTGGGTATTCTAGCACATTTTAGTGATCTTATATTCATTTTTAATGAGCATAATTTTACAATGGAAGTCTATTTGCCCTATTCCAATATCCCATAATACCTTGCACTCAGACAGGTTCCAGTGTAGAGTATAGCAGACATCTATGAGGAAAATAGCAAAACCAGATAATAATATAATAACATAGTGCAGGGGATGGAGTGCTGCAGAACCTGCCTGAAAATGATCAGGTTTTCATAGATTCATTTGTATCAAAGTAATTAAGTGATAGTTGTCAGTATATCAAATAATGCATAGCAAAAGCAAAAGTGAACTGTTAATAACTAATTCAGCATACTTAGTGTTCCAAAACATAAACAAATATAAAGTTGCTGCCTTCAGTGTAACTCACTGTAGGCCTATACATGTACAGAGCAGAGAGAAAAGAGAAACAAGAGAAAATTACTAGAAAAAGATCTCGTAATTGTGAGATCTTTTTTCATAATTATGAGATCCCAATGTTGTAATTATGAGATAGTAAGTCATAATTACGAGATAACATCGTCCAATTTTTCTTTCTATGGTGAATGTGATGCGCCTCCTTACAAATGGATGTGAAATATTTGTGCATTAAATGTTGACTTTTGTCAACATTAGCTTAACAATGAATGACAAAAACATAGAGGTGAGTGGAATTATTTGCAGAATAAAAACAGTATTTTAGCTAGAAAGAGAAACCCTAAGCAGCAGGGAGATGAGTCACCCCCCACCCCCACCCCCAGACACTTTGGCTTTAATTAGCAGCACTTATCTTTGTATAGCATATTTAGGATACATCAACTTTTAAATGTAAAAATCTCTTGTCTGCATGGTATGTTTTCTGCCCTCTAGGTAGCTGATGTGTCGTCTGATGGTATCCTGCGTTTGGATCTTGATCTTGAGGATGCTGTAATGCCTAATGGGACCCATCATGCCAATGTTGATGGTAGTGAGACCCCCAAAGAGGCCATCAAAGCTACAGAGAAAAACTTGGGGACAAATGCTGAATGGGAGGTGCAGACTGGGCCAGAGGTCAGTCCCCAGAAAAAGGTCAAACCTCCCATGCCCCCTACCAAAGAGACTAAACCCAGTTTAGAATCTGAGGAAGAACTCGATAAGCCTGATGGCCTTGAGAAAAAGGTCTGTATAATAACCCTTGTCATGCAATGCAGATATACTTATGTATGTCTTTCTATTTGGATAACATGATCTATAAAGTGTGATTTAATGTTTCTAAGGTCCTTAAGCCACCAATGCCTCCGTGTAAAGAAGCCAAGCCCTGTATTTCACCTGCTGAAGAAAGTACAGGGGAGGCTAAAGCTGACATGTCTGAAAAGTGTCCTGATACTAGAAAAAAGGCCGATCCACCACCTACTCCTCCCAACAAACCCAGTTCCAGCAGCCCAATTATTAACCTTGCAGAGACCAACTCCCACCCTCCTGCCACCCCATCCAAAGAGAAGAAACCCTCTACTACTGCTATGGATCCAACCCAAGAGGATGAAGGCACAGGTGATGAGAATAAGGAGAAGGAAGAAGACAGCGGGGAGCAGACCAAAGGAACGGCTGTAGAAACAGATGAAGCAGACCAGATGATTTCTAAAGAAGCTCTGTCTAGTGTCAGTGGTGATAAGAATCACTGTGCAAAAGGGCAGGATTCAGAAGAAGAGTCAAGAGAGACTATACGCAGTGGCATAAACAAGGCATCCGACAAGGAGCCACAAATACTTGTTCAGCCTGACATGCAACACATGAGAGACATGACACAAGATAACCCAACTATAAGTCAGCCTGATAAGGGAGAGGACCCTGCTGCATCACTGCAAACAGCCTCAGATACTTCAGCCAGTTCTTTTCAAGTGGAAGAACTGCTCCCCAGCTGTGAAGTCCCCTCAGTAGGTGCCTCTTTGAACGACCCACTCAGTGACAGCCTTAGTCTGAGTCCACTGCTTTGTCACTTGCATGGAGAGAAAGAAAAGAAGGCAGAGGAGAAATCTGTAGACAGCGGTCAGCAATCAGATGATGACAGCGAAGGCTCTGGGAGTGAACACACAGTGGCAACTTCCACAGCTGAGGACAACATTCAGAACTCTGTCAGTTTAAGGCAGAAACAGGCTGAAACCAAACATCAGGTTAACCCAAAGGGATTTCCCTTTCAGCGCTCGGTGCCCGCTGTTCCTGCCAAACCCCACATTAAGGCAAAGTCAGCCTCCATTGGAGATCTGCTGTCAGACTCCCCGGCCTATATTCAGGTGAGACAGAATCCCAGATCTGTGTCTGTTAGTGACAGGTCCCCGGTAGATAATGTAATGAAGCTAGAGACTGAAGTGGCTCTGGAGATGGAAAAGACAAGTGACCTACTGAGCAGACTGTCCCAGTCCCACACGGGAGGTGACAGGGAAGGCATGCCAGAGGATCTGCTGGTCAGGGCAATGGAGAAGCTGAAGAAGGCTGACCGTGTGCTCAGGGAGGTCAAGAAACTTACAATGACAAAGACCTCAAGCAACAGGAAGAGCTGGTGAATGTCAGTCAGCAGATTGATTTGGAATTGACCATTCGCTAAACCACTCACCCAGACAGTGATTGTCCAGTCATAGCTTAGCAATCTTATTAAGTTGCAGCAGACCTGTCAAGCTTAGGATTTCTCCACTTACAATCTGGCAAAGAAAACCCCTTTGGATGGTGTCTTATTTTAGAAGAAGAATTTTCAGTCTTGTGGAGCTGACATTAGCCTGACAGTGGTGATTCCAATGGTCTTTTTCTGTCTGAAATCAAACACCTACAAGTTCAACATTACTCAGATGTTTGAGAGGTATGTTTTACACCATTACCATTCTGAACTGCAAGACTGGAAAGCCTGAGAGGTGTAGCAACACTGGAGGGGTCAGGGCTTAACAAATGGTCAATAGATGGGCTTGGGCAGGCAGTCTCCATTTTTTATGGTTATGCAGTATCTGTTCGCTCATAATTAACTAAGTGCAATTATTTCTAGCTTAACTTTCTCTGTAGCTGAAAGTAATGCTTAATGTTCTACTGTTTACTGTTTATGTTTTGTTCTGTATGAAATATCTGACATTTTCAAGAACAATTACTTGAAGACTAATTTGAGAATAATACAATGACAAAGCAGTACTGCTGATACAGTGGGAATGTGCAAAAAATGTACTAAAAAGTGTTAACAACAAATGACATGTTTTAATAACTGGATTCAAGAGACTAGTATGTTTTTGCTGGCACATTAAAAGATGAATGAATTTGTAGGCTACTGTACATATAGTATTTTTGACTTTTTACCACAATATACATTATGCTGTTTATTGTTAATGAGGAAAGTTCCAACTGTTTTTAATCAGAGTAATCATGTGATTGCAGTGTTTTTATGAAAGAAGAACTGCTATTCCACATAGAACAATTATTTTTTTAACAATTATTATTATTTTTAACTGATATTGTCTACAGAAACGCAGCTTGTAGTAGCTAATTCGCTTTAGGAGGGGGATATGTGCTCATCAGTGTAATCCTCGCAAATTAAATAATGAACTCTGAACTCTGCAGAATTTCCCCCCTTTTTTGTCAGATGCTTTGTTAAAAGATGTGATGGTAGTTTTAAATACTTTTTAAACATGTGAAGCAAAAATATTTTCTAACATCAGATATAATTTTGTAGGCTACTTTGCTACTGCCCAAATAAAATGGAAGCTGTTTGTTTTGTGTCTTTGTCTTTTTAAAGAATCTCAAAGATGTATTTATTATTAATGTTATGTTATTATTAAAGTCTACTCCATTTTATATTATTCTGTATTGATGGCTTACTGCCGGGGTGGTATTAGGATTTTCATTATGTTTTACTGCAAGATATTTTTTTCAAACCTCAAAAAATCTGCCAACTTGATTTTAGTAGCATGCCCACTTATTAGTAATGTTTATTTCTTTTATATGATTTTAGTGCTAACAGTACCAGACGTTTAGCTGAAAAAATTGTAACTTTTCATGTTTTTAGATTTTGTAGACAAGCAATTCATTTAACATAACAGAATAAGTGATAATACAAACTGCTGCATTCCACTTCTCAGAAGTAATGCAGTTAAACTAATCATAAAGCAAGTTTCACTTGAGATGAAACTATGAAGTAAATAAGGTCTGTGCATGACTAGTTTGTTGATTCTGGTTAAGCAAAAATAATGGGTCACTTATCAAATATTGAGCCACAAAAAATCCAAATGAGGTATCAATATAATAAAAATGTCCACATACACCAGCAGAAGAAAAGTGGTACACATGACCATTGTTGTGTTCTACTTTGCTGTAATTCAAGCCAATACAACTCTGTATTGATCTTTCACCAGCCCCGTCATGAGTGGTTAAACAAAAAAAGATAGGATTGTTTCTCTGTGGCAAGCCATTCAAGGGTATGCAGCAGACATTTTTCTACTGATCAAATTCTCAGAACATCACAAGGAGGAAGAAAACTATTTGTCAGGGCAGTCCCCTCTCTGTTTCAGTGGAATCACTTCACAAAACCACAGACCAGAGCCAGAGTGTGGGAGTGCTGGCCACACCCCAGCACATTGGAACCCAGTGAGCACCCCACATAACCTCCCTTCCTATTATTATTTTGTTTAATAGCAGTTGGCAAACAACTTTAAGTGCATTACCACCACCTTCTAGACTGGAGTGTGGATCAGAACAGCCCCTACCTCCTACTACTATAATAAAATTATCTCACTCAGTTTATGCTATAATATTTACTTTGTCACATTCCTCTAAGAACCTAAAGTTTGCTCTGTACCCTACATCCCCTGTGCCATTTTGTAACATCTCATTAAAATGAAATCTCATGCCATTACTTTGAAGTGTATTTTGAAACAATGCCCTGTCCTGCCTGAACCTTGGACAACTCAAAAAAAAAACGTGCTCCACTGGTTCTTGTACCCTACAAAGCTTACATTCACCAGTATTATGTTTCTTCAGCAACTTCAGTGTACTATTCAAAAGGGCGTACCACTTGCAAGCAATGGCATGCCCTTTGTGAAAAGGTACCTGCCATTATATATGCCTTTAGATCCGAAGTGGAAAGCAGCATGTCAGATTGATGGGTTACTGGCATTTACTGTATACAGCAGGTACAATTAAGATAGTCTTAACCATATTAGTGCAAGCCAATGATCACACTGAAGAAATAGGCTATGGTGCCAGGTCAATGACTTTAGTCTTTGGCACTGAAAAATAAATCTTGGCATTGAAACCAAAACCATAACTGGAAAAAAAAAGGAACTGAAAAAGCAAATCTTTGGCACTGAAGCATTTGTATAAAAAAAACTCATTGGCATCAAAAAAGTATTAATACTCTTCAGATCTTTTGTTAACTTAAGTTTTTTCGATGCCAAAGTTTTTTCTTTCAGTTTCACTTCTCTGTCACTGTTTTGCTGTGGAGGGGTGGGGCTAAGGAGAGTGTGATTTGCATACTCTGGTTGAGATCCATGAGGAGAGGACGGCCCTCTCCCCTGAGCTGCTGTCTGCATCGAGGCTTCTGTCTGCTGAGCATCGGCGCATAGTTACTGCAGCGGCTTCCCCCAGTTCAGCTGGAGCTCTGAAACTGCTGTGTGTTTCTCTCTGCTGGTGTCTTTACTCACAGAACTGAGTTACGCTAAAGCTCACTTTTAACTTATGTTAGGCAGGCGTGAGATCTGCTGCAAGTGCTCATGTTAGCTACAGGTAGGCTATATCTAATAAAGCTAATGTTAGCTGTACCTAACATCAGCAGTGCACACCAAGACAGTATAAATGTTTCAGCGCCAATGTCTGCTTTTTTTCACTTACTTTTTTTTTCATTTATGGTTTTGTGTTCAAGGCTTGCTTTCCCATTTGGAGTCAGGTAAGGAGTCAAAAGCAAAGTTAAGTTAAAGTTAAGAAAATCTTAACATAAAAAAGTTACATGAAGGGAACAAAGTATTAAAACACAATAGACAAAAATAGGTTAATAGTATTTCCCACAGTGAACTTCAAACATCACACTTAGTAATTCACATGGTGGAGCTGGATATGTCATTACGCTTGTTGAGGTAGTGAGGGGTTATAACATACTAAAACACAGTTTATATTCAGGCCTGTTTCCATTGCTTGGTAGAGAATGTCCTGCTATTATTCAGGTCCCCCAGGAGAACACTGTTGATGAGATGCTCTTACAAACATACCTTGTGGAATGTTTCTGTATTATTATTGGGCATGTCTAGTAAGGGGTTATTGCACATATATTCTCACATTTCTCACATTTTCGTATTTGCCATCTGTCTTACTGCGGCAGGGAAAAAGCTGTTGTAAAGTCTAGTTCTGTGTGTGATGATACTGTCCACCCTGCTGTGCCTGAGGCTGTAGGTGCAGTTTTTGTGTCTGAGCAGCAAGTGAGCTGGGTGGATCTCTGAGTATGTTCTTCGCTCTTTTACAACAGCGCTGTGTGTAGAGTGTGTCCATAGCAGGCAGTTCAGTCCCAGTGATCCTCTCTGCAGTCTTTATGACCCTCTGAAGAGCCTTCCTTTCTGCCTGTGTGGTGTTACCATACCAGACTGTGATGCCAGTGGTGAGGACGCTCTCTACCAGTCCTCTATAAGCCTGGGTGAGAGGGTGATGGTTCAACCCAGCTTTTCTGAGCCGTCTGATGAAGTATAGCCACTGCTGGGCTTTCTTCACTGTGGCAGCTGTGTTCAGTGACCAGCTCAGGTCAAATGTCACCTGTAGGCCCAGGAACTTGTGGCTGTCAGCCCTCTCCACCTCAGTCCCTTTGATGGTCAGAGGCAGCAGAGGGGAGAGGTTCTTCCTGAAGTCTACTATTTTTTCTTATGTCTTGTTTATGTTGAGGATGAGGTCATTCTTCTCACCATAAACAAGAATGTTGTTCACCAAACTTCTGTAACCTGACTCGTCTCCCCCCTTGATGAGGCCCAGGATGGTGGTGTCATCAGCATATGTAATGATGATGGTGTTGTCATGGTTGGAGACACAGTCGTGGGTGTACAGGATGAAGAGTTTGGGGCTGAGACAGCAGCCCTGTGGTGAACCTGTGCTGATTGTGAGCTCAGCAGACACCTGCCATCCCATTCTGACCACCTGCTGTCTTTCAGTCAGGAAGTCCAGAGTCCAGTTACAGGTGGGAGCTGGGACACCAAGGTCTGTCAGCTTCTCAATCAGCCTGCCTGGGCAAATGGTATTGAATGCAGAACTGTAATCCAGGAAGAGCATCCTAACATACATCTGCTGTTGTCCAGGTGTTTCAGGGTGTGGAGTAAAACCAGAGCCGTTGCATTGTCCACTGATCTGTTGGTGCAGTAGGCAAACTGGAGGGGGTCTGCAGTGTCTGGGACCATGTGGTTAACGTGTGTGAGGACCAGTTGGAGGGGCGACAGTGGTGTGGTGGTAGAGCAGTCATCTCCCACCCAGAAGGTTGAAGGTTCAAATCTCGGTGCCGGCAGTCCATGTGTCGAAGTGTCCTTGGGCAAGACACTGAACCCCCCTGTTGGTTAGAGCCATCGGTTGAGGTGGCGTCGCAGATGGCTGCCATCGGTTCTGTACCGGGAAACAAATTCCTTGTGTGTAACATACTTGGTCAATAAAGAATGATTATCCTTAAGCCCTTCATAGCAACTGATGTGAGCGCCACTGGCCAGTTCAGGTTGCCAAAAAATGCCAACTCTCTCATCTCATCATATTGCTTAAGGCCAAAGTCCCCAATGCAATTTTCTTGTGTCCATCACTGTTTGGACAAGCAAAGCATCACACACACGCAGTCAGCAGAGCAGAAAGAGAAAATACCACCTGACTCGGACCCAGACCAGAGGAACCTGCAGACATTATGGCTACTGTGTTCCTAGTAACATTGTAGCAGTAGACCAAGAACATTATAATGGTATAATGGTATGAGGCACTAAGACACCAACTACATGCTCTCAACTTAAAGAACTCCCTGGGTTGCAGTGGATTTCTGGGTCACCAGAAGACAAACTGGTGCCATTCTAGTTGTTTTGCTAAATAATCCATTTGACTATGACCAATAGCTGTTTCAGAACTGTTAGTTAGTTAGTAAATCTTGCTGGTACCAAAAAAATATGCCACAGTTGAGTAGAACAGCAACCAAGATGAGAGGGACCTGACTGTAGACAATAAATGGCAGACTGGCGACCTCACTTGAAAATATTCAACCTTAGGTGGAAGCTGGACTGTTTTTAGGCAGCTACACTGCCTTTATATATATAAGAAGAAGACCATAAAACTGTTGATCTATGGTGCGAGGTAATCAAAATTAACTTTGTTAACTGTTTTTAATTCCTAAACTTGGTTATAGCACACTTTTAAAGCTATAGCAATAGCATAACTTTATGAGAGATGGTGATCAAATGGCCTTTAGTAGCTACTTTAGTGCAACTTTATTAGCCTGGTTGTTATTAGCATTGTCTATGTTAAGGGATAGCATCATTACAAGCAAAGCAGGAAGGAGTCCTGGAGCTAAAACTAATGTAATAATGCTGAAAGAAATGTAAAGTTGTGGAGGATGAAGGTAAAGTCTCGTACTGGCAACTGTAGCCTGATACTACATTTGTTCCTGGCTTCCAAGTCTTTTCACACAGTGTAAATTAACTAAGAGTTACTTCCATCCATCCATTACCTATACTGCTTATCATGATGAGGGTTGCGGGGGGGCTGG